TCCAAGAATGATGTCAACAGAAAGTGCCAACAGCTTCACGCTCATCGGGGAGGCGTCGGATGGCGGCACCATGGAAAACCTCAGCCGCAGACTGAAGGCAAGTTTTGTGTGAGCTGGTAAGTTCGGGGGCTCCTGAGGCAGAGCATCGCTAGTTGTGGGTGCTCCGGGAGCCTCCCCAGGGGTTTGCTGGTGAGTTCTGGGTGAGGAGCCGGCAGCAGCCACGGCTTCACCCGACCTGATGGCAAACACCTCCCGCAGGTCACCGGTGACCTCTTTGACATCATGTCCGGGCAGACGGACGTGGATCACCCTCTGTGCGAGGAGTGCACGGACACGCTGCTGGACCAGCTGGACACGCAGCTGAACATCACGGAGAACGAGTGCCAGAACTACAAGTGAGTGAGCTGGAGGCAACCCGGCACCAAGCAGCTTAACCCTGCGGAAAGCCCAGATCCTTCCCGTGATCACCAAGACATCCCTGACTTGAGCACTCGGGGTTTGAAACCTGCACTTGGGAGAGTCCCGTGGTAACAGCTTCTCCAGCTGAGGTCTGTGAGGGCTAACCATGGCATTCCAGTGCAGTCAAAGGCTCCTCAGAGACAGTTCCTGTCAGGCAGCAGCAGCCCTTGGTCACCATCTCGCTCCCCTGCTCTGTGTGTTCCTGACTCATGGTGCAGGATCAACACAGAGAGCTTGGGAATAACGAGAGCGGGAGATCCCGGTCCCCGTGTGCGCTGCTGCCAGAGGGAGCCTCCCAGCAGCCCTGCTTTGGTAATCCTGGTGCTCTCCTTCAGGAGGTGTCTGGAGATCCTGGAACAAATGAACGAGGATGATAAGGAGAAGCTGCAAATGGAACTGAAGGAACTTGCACTGGAAGAAGAGCAGCTGATCCAGGAGCTGGAGGACGTTGAGAAGAATCGCAAGGTTGTGGCTGAAGACTTCGAGAGAGTCCGGGCAGAGGCAGAGCGGCTGGAGCAGGAGGAAGCTCAGTGAGTGACCTACAACTCAGCTCATGACAGGGATTTTAAGTAGCAGATAAACGAGATTATAACACAGAGCAAGCTGTAAGTAACAGCCAAGTGCAAAACTGAAGTCGGTGTGGCCAGAAAAGCCCTCAAGTACCAGGAGAGAAATTGCTTGTCTGTAAAAGCACTTGACATTTGTTGTCTTGCTTTTGTTCAAAGGTATCAGAAGGAATATTGTGAATTCAAGAGGCAACAGCTGGAGCTGGACGATGAGCTGAAGAGCGTGGAGAACCAGATGCGCTATGCCCAGATGCAGCTGGATAAGCTAAAGAAAACCAACGTGTTCAACGCCACCTTCCACATCTGGTACCGGGGGCTGCTCGGGGCAGGGGCAGCACTAACGGGGTCACACGTACCTAAAGGACACTGCAGAGGAGCTGTTGACAAGGGCCTGTAGGGACAGGACAAGGGGAATGGCTTTAACCTGCCAGAGGGGAGACTGAGATGAGCTCTGAGGCAGAAGCTCTTCCCTGGGAGGGTGCTGAGGCGCTGGCACAGGGTGCCCAGAGAAGCTGTGGCTGCCCCATCCCTGGCAGTGTTCAAGGCCAGGTTGGACACAGGGGCTTGGAGCAACCTGCTGTAGTGGAAGGTGTCCCTGCCCATGGCAGGAGGTTGGAGCTGGATGAGCTTTAAGGTCCCTTCCAACCTAAACCATTCTGTGATTCTATGATAAACAGGTAACAAGGGCTTGCTGTTTACATACACTTCTTAAGCAGAGCCCCAAACCCCCTTTGGTGAGCTCCCCATGCACGGGGGGGTGGCTGTTGCACTGCAGCTCTCACACACTTTACTGCCAGGAGCTGTAATATTTGTAATTCCTCTTATCACAGGCACAGTGGTCAGTTTGGCACAATAAATAACTTCAGGCTTGGCCGTCTCCCCAGTGTTCCTGTAGAATGGAATGAGATCAATGCTGCCTGGGGGCAGACTGTGCTGCTGCTCCATGCCCTTGCTAACAAAATGGGCCTGAAGTTTCAAAGGTATATGCCTTGTAACACACTTTTTGCTTCTGGCCCAGAGAGAGACAGTTGAGCTCATGTGCCTGTGAATCCTGTCTCCTTTCAGATACCGTCTTGTACCATATGGCAACCACTCATACTTAGAGTCCCTCACAGACAAATCAAAGGTAAGAGACTCCACACAAGTCACAGGACATTGACCTGGAATGCCACAGAGCCCTGGCCACTTAGCTTTTTATCAGTCTGTGGTACAGGACAACTGCCTGCCCCAGCTTCTCCAACACAGCATCTAATTTAATAACTAACACCTGATCTAGTAATTCCATATCCTGTACCAAGCTCCTCTTCCTGCCACCTGGTCAAAAACAACAGAACTCTGGAGCCAAACACTGCACTGGCCAGAGGAAGATGGTTTGGGCTGGTTGTTGGTGATAAGGAACCCAAGCCTGCACATAGCAGGCACTAACCACAAAACAAACTAAGCCACACTTGCTACATGGCACAAACCATCCCTAAGGATCCCACGCCAAATTTAAGCCTCACACAGGACAAAGGATCTGTAATGACCATACTTAAAAATGGGAGTGACTGAAACCCATCTCTTTTCTAGGAGCTTCCCTTGTACTGTTCTGGAGGCCTGAGGTTCTTCTGGGACAATAAGTTTGACCACGCGATGGTGGCGTTCCTGGACTGCGTGCAGCAGTTTAAAGAGGAGGTAGAGAAAGGGGAAACCCGCTTTTGTTTGCCCTACAGGTGAGTGCTGCTGCCTGACCCAGCAAGCAAACAGCACACGCACAGCCCCACACAGCACTGACTGACTCAGTCCTGCCCTGCAATCAGCCCGTGGTCTTTATAACGTGCAAGATTACCCCATTTGCTCTTAGTTTAATTGGAATTTAAAGCCTGTTCCTCAGGTGAAGAACTGAGGCTTGCTAGATTTCACTTAAACCCAAAGTACTCTTAACATAGAATAACATAAACGACAGGTTGAAATGTCACATGCAGACAAAATGCTCACACTAGAAATGCACTAACAGAGCTTTGTATGATGCAGGATGGACGTGGAGAAAGGCAAGATTGAAGACACAGGTGGCAGCGGTGGCTCTTACTCTATTAAAACACAATTTAACTCTGAGGAGCAATGGACAAAAGCACTAAAATTCATGTTAACTAACCTGAAGTGGGGTCTTGCCTGGGTCTCATCCCAGTTCTATAACAAGTAACCACGGGAAGAACTCGTCCTGGCAGCTGCAGTGTCTGTGTTCCGTCGGAGAAAGTCACATTAAGATGTTTCTTAATATTAACCAGTACAAAATGTTTACAATACCAAAAATCCACAAGACACTTTATTTAAAAGACCCTTATTACAAGTAGTATATAGAAAAGCAATATGTAAAGTTCTATGGTGGAGCTGAACAGAATAAAAAGTCAGCTATTAAATCAATGCTAAAACTGGTACTTTGAGGTTTATACATGGAAATTACTGCTGAACTTCAAACAGGGGCGAGTTCAATACCCCTCTTAAAGCTGAACACAGGTTAGAGAAGTGAAATGTCACAAACAGGAACGTGGAGGAACTCATGGTAACTGCAGTCTGAACTAAGGGATTCTAAGTCATGTCAGCACTTTGTGCCACTGAACGTAGCAAGGTTTGATACTGCCTCAAATACTGTTAGCTGTGATGATGCTGGTGTTTGTGGTACTTCCTGCAGCCTCTTCTCACCTGGAGGTGCACCCAGTGAATAATAAAACACTATTCTGCATGGAGAGTGCTTCCATAGGACACGGGCGGGCTCAGCAGGCCCCTGCTATCACGACAGTTTCCAAACTGAGGGTTCGTCCCTCTGACCACACGGGTGGGCAGCTGCCTGCTGGGGTGGGGGCAGAGGGGGCACAGGAACATCCTGGCTGTCTGGCACAAGGGGTAGTTTTAAAGCAGCAGCAAATAGAAAGTACAGCCCGGTGTAATGGGGTTGTGAGCTGCTCCTAATGCCATTACCACACCATGCGCCTCGCTGCCTTTTCAGAACACAACTCCTTAGAGCTCGCTCTCTCTTCAAGGAAACTTCTGTTTGTCCCTAAGCTGATGTAGGTCTTACAATAAAGCTTTGTCTGCCCAAAGAGGTTATTTCCACATGCTGCTTGGCTCCTGGTGCCTCCCTTCACAGTACTGGGGTGTTGCCTGAAAGGAGCTTTTCTAACTAACTTAACACTGGTGTTGAAAAGCAAACCCAAATTGCATGGGGTGCCCTGGGCAGTGGTAGTGCTTTGCTGCCCCGGGGCAGGCAGCTCTACTGCAGAGGCCCAATTCTGTGCTCCAGAGCTTTTGTTCCACAGCTCCTGTAGTGCTGCTTCGGAGTGCTGCTGCCAATGATGTGTTTCAGCACCGCGTAAGAAAATTCCAGTATGCTTTGTAGAGTGATGCCAGTGACAGAGCTCAAATGCTCCACAACCTTAAAAAACCCAAGACAGCTACTTACTAACAGTGCCTAAGAGATGGTCATTTACAGACACACTTAATCCTGCAAATCTGAGGGGAATAACAGCGCTCCATGGGCACACTTCAACAAGGGTGAAGCCTCTCAGAATGTTTTTTCTTTGGCTGGGCGTTGGTTTGGTTGGTTGGTTTAGGGGGTTTTATGTTTGTTTTCCATTTGTTTTTTAATCACTTCTACTGAAGAGGTGAAAAAGCTACAGGCCGTGAAGGAGTCCCATGGGATTGAGAACAAACCTGTGCGGGGTTTGTTCTGGCTGTGGAGACACTGAAGCGCGAGGACACGCTCACACTAGTGCAAGCGGGAGCCTTCCAACAGCCCCACACGTGCTTCCTGCTGCACTTCACCAACCCACACAGAGCCAACACCTTCAGAAGTGACTGTACCTGCTCCCAGTGCCCAGGGTTTAGTACGAACATGCTTGTGCTGATGATTCCAACAGCCAAGAGCATGAAATCTTCCTTCACTGTCAAAAACTTTGCTCTGCGGAAGTAAAAGGGTTTTCTGGTGTCATCAGTGGCAGCTTTGCAGTTCAGAAGCACCCGCTTCTGGCAGGGCTTACACAGCACATGTTCACTTCCTCAGTCCAGACAAAGCCTGATGCTGTTAACTTTAACGAGCAGTGCTAAAGCTGGGGGGTTATGATTACATCAAACATTTCCCTAGCTTGCCCCTAAAGCACCCGTGTAGAAGCACGTTGCTTTGAACTGGTACATCAAGCTCAAGAAACAACACTGAAAGCCCTCCCCAAATTGCTTGTTTTTAAAAACATGCCCCCAAAACTGGCATCATGGGAATTATGCTACTATTTCTTAAGCTTTTTTTTTTTTTAGGGGGGGTGTTCATTTCAAGTAGCTGAAGCATCAGGAGCTACTCACACTTGCAGTTTGCTTGGTGAGGAGCTGCCGATGGCGACCTTCAGCAAAGTGGTGTAGATGGCATCTCGTGCAAGGTAGGAGAAGTCGAGGAGCTGAATACACATCTGATGTAAGGGCTTGGTGGGAAGCAAGCAGCCATTGTACCCTAGCACAGAGATCACACGGGATCAGCACCACATCCCAAGTCAGGAAACTGGATCAGAAAGAAGCCATGAGCCAGGGATGGAGATTCCTGGTGCCAAGTGCCCCTTGTTTCGGAGTGCCACAGGCTTTCTCAAGCTCAGCATCATCTCACCCACTCCTAAATTCAGGTTGTCAGACCTGGGCGCTTGTAGAAAACATGTTCTTACACTAGGTTTTGGGGGGTTTAAACTCTTAATTCTTCTACTGAACACATCATGCCTGGCTGTCCAACAGCACTCATCAGATTCGAGTAAGGACAAAGATCTCACCCAAAAAGTAAAGCCCTGCACAATGTGAATGCACCATCTGCCAAAATCTGCCCTAGGAGACCTTCTGGTTCAAACCAGTAATGGCTCTACTACACTTCCTAAAAACCCTGTTCCCATCCTCCCCTCTTAACCGTCTTACCCAGGACCTCCAGGAGCAATTCCACGTAAGCCAAAGGAGTTGAGATGTTGACCTGGAAGTGCAGAGTCTTTAGAACAGCAAGTTCCGACTCGAGCAGCTCCTGTTTCGTGTACGAGTACTTCAGCGACTGCAGAAATTTTACAGCTCTGTCACTGGTAACTCTCTGAGGAGGAAAAAGAGGCGAGAAAAGACAAATTAGCTCCTGGGCAGCAGGTAGAAGCCAGCACTTCCTTGCTCTACTCCTCCCACTGGATTCCAACTGGAGCCCCTGCAGCTCCCACAGCTCTCCAGCACTGTCTAACTCCTCTTCCGAGCTGGCATTAAAACTGCAGTTCAGCCCTTCTCTCCCCAAGGCTTTCTCTACTCCACAATCCCTCCCCATGCAGTGTGTACTCCTGCAGACATACAGCTTTCAACAGCACAGACTGTCTTTTCCCCATTGCCTGTACTTTTTCCCCGCAATACTGGGAACATTTCCTGACAAACTATTACTTGACAAGTGACAACTCATCTGCCCTAAATGTTTAAACCTAAATTTAGGTCTGCATTTCAATATACTTTGCATTTTGTCATCAGTATTGCCTTTCAAACAGGAAATCAGAGAATCACAGAATGGTTTGGGTTGGAAAAGACCTTAAAGCTCATCCAGCTCCAACCCCTGCCACGGGCAAGGACACCTTCCACTAGAGCAGGTTGCTCCAAGCCCCTGTGTCCAACCTGGCCTTGACCACTGCCAGGGATGGGGCAGCCACAGCTTCTCCGGGCACCCTGTGCCAGTGCCTCAGCACCCTCACAGGGAAGAACTTCTTCCTTGTATCCAATCTGAACTTCCCGTATCAGTTTGAACCCATCACCCCTTGTCCTATCACTACAGTCCCTGATGAAGGTCCCTCTCCAGCACCCTTGTAGCCCCCTTCAGACCCTGGAAGCTGCTTTGAGCTCTCCACGCAGCTTCTCTTCTCCAGGCTGAGCAGCCCCAGTGTTCTCAGCCTGTCTGCACACAGGAGCTGCTCCAACCCCTGACTGCTCTCATGGCTCTCTTTCTTTCTAGTTTTCTTTTTAAGAGACAGGAGCACACCACAGAACTGACTACACTGCTAAAACCCATGGCAGGAACAGGTCTGTCGGGCTTACGTTATAGTGCAGGGACAGTTTGCT